AAAAAAAAAAAGGCCTTCCTTCTGGATTATAAGTAAGATTGTTGCTAGTATAAAAAACAATACAAATATATCGTAAATTTTCTTTTCTTTCTTTCTTTTTTTTTTTTTTGAGACAAAGTCTCACTATGTCACCCTCGGTACAGTGCTATGGCTTCACAGCTCACTGCAACCTCAAACTCTCCAGCTTAAGCGATTTTCTCACCTCAGCCTCCCAAGTAGCTGGGAGGGGTGCCTGCCACAATCTCCAGCTATTTTTTATTTGTTTGTTTGTTTGTTTGTTTAGCAGGCCCAGGCTGGGCTCGAACCTGCCAGCCTTGTGAGCTATGGGTGCTGCCATATTTTTCTTTTTCTTAAGGGTCTCAGTGCTTGCTTTGGTAGCACATATACTAAAATTGGAATGATACAGAGAAGATTAGCATGGCCCCTGCACAAGGGTGACACACAAATTCATGAAGTGTTCCATATTTTTTTTTGATCCTACAATTCCTCTACTAGGTATATATCCAGAAGACCAAAAATCACACTACAACAAAGATATTTGTACCAGAATGTTTATTGCAGCCCAATTCATAATTGCTAGGTCATGGAAGAAGCCCAGGTGCCCACTGACCCATGAATGGATCGATAAACTGTGATATATGTACACCATGGAATATTGTCCAGCCTTAAAGAAAGATAGAGACTTTACCTCCTTCATGTTTACATGGATGGAGCTGGAAAATATTCTTCTTAGCAAAGTATCTCAAGAATGGAAGAAAAAGTATCCATAGCCCTACTATGAAACTAATTTATAGCTTTTATATGAAAGCTATAACCCAATTATAGCCCAAGAATATGGGGAAAGGGGAGAAGGAGGGGAGAGGGAGGGGAGGGGAGGAAGGGTGGAGGGAGGGTGATTGGTGGGACCACACCTATGATTCATCTCACAAGGGTACGTGTGAATCTCCCTAAATGTAGAATATAAATGTCTTAACACAATAACTAAGAAAATGACATGAAGGCTATGTTAACCAGTTTGATGAAAATATTTCAGATTGTATATAGAACCAGCACACTGGCTCGACACCTGTGGCTCAAGTGGCTAAGGCGCCAGCCACATACACCTAAAGTGACCAGTTCTAATCCAGCCCGGGCCGCCAAACAACAATGACGGCTGCAACTAAAAAATAGCCAGGCATTGTGGCGGGCACCTGTGGTCCCAGCTACTTGGGAGGCTGAGGCAGGAGACTCGCTTGAGCCCAGGAGTTGGAGGTTGCTGTGAGCTGTGATGCCACAGCGCTCTACACAGGGGGACAGCTTGAGGCTCTGTCTCAAAAAAAAAAGAACCAGCACACTGTACCCCATGACTGCATTAATGTACACAGCTATGATTTTTTTTTTTTAAAAAGGGTCTCAACCAGCAAAGCCAACACTGGTTATAGAACTGCAAAAAAAATTTTTTTTGAGACAGAGTCTCACTTCATCGCCCTCGGTAGAGTGCTGTGGCGTCGCAGCTCACAGCAACCTCCAGCTCTTGGGCTTAGGTAATTCTCTTGCCTCTGCCTCCAGAGTAGCTGGGACTACAGGCGCCCACCACAATGCCCAGCTATTTTTTTTTGCAGTTTGGCTAGGGCCGGCTTTGAACCTGCCACCCTCGGTATATGGGGCCTGTGCCCTACTCACTGAGCCATCAGCGCTGCCCTAGAACTGCACATTTTAATGAAATTATAAAATTATAAATGTTATGTTACGAAACAAAAAGCAAAAATTTTGTCTTATAATGAAATGAATGAGGTTTTTTCCAAATATGTTTCATTCTTTTTTTTTTGAGACAGAGTCTCACTTGATCATCCTCAGTAGAGTGTTATGGTGTCACAGCTGACAGCAACCTTAAACTCTTGGGCTCAAGGGATCCTCTTGCCTCAGCCTCCTAGTAGCTGGAACTATAGGCACCTGCCACAATGCCTGGCTATTTTTTTAGAGAGGAGGTCTTGCTCTGGCTCAGGGTGGTCTCAAACTCATGAGCTCAGGCAATCCACCTGCCTCACCCTCCCAGAGTGCTAGGATTACAGGCATGAGACACCACACCCGGCCTGTTTCATTTATTCTTT